TATCTCTCCCGGGTTTTCTGCAACCATGATGCGCGCGCATCCTGAATGTTTACAAACCGATAATTGGTCTATTGATATCGTACTTTGCAATGCAGAGAGAGAGAGAGAGAGCAATCTAAATTTACATTTCTTCCCGCACCGATAGATTTGACAAGGTTAAACATATCTCTCTTTCTTTGTTACAGTCTTGTACGCACAGGAACGGTTGCATTCTGTTCGACAACAAAGGCAGCGGATTGCTTTGATAACCTCTGCTGCTGTGATATCTAATCTATTAAATGCACACTGAAATGTGAGTTGCATGAAAAGCTGAGTGAGCGCGCTGAACGGAAAGGGGAGGCGGCTTGACGGACTGCTTTAAACGTGCGTGAGGTGTTGGGGGGGGTAGCTCAGGACAGGGGGAAAAGAATGAAAAGTCGCCTCTTATCGAGGGCACAATCGGAAACGCTGTTTAACTTGGCGAGCTTTCCCGAATAGAGCGCAAAGCTGCGTCCTGACAGACTAAAACATGTCGTATATTCACAAGTCACGGAGTTATGAGCCCATTAATAATTTATGTTCATCAATACACTGGGCTGACTAGATAGAGAACAGACTTGGGTTTTTACAATCGATAAAGACGGGCGACAGAAAAGCTCAGCGTAAACTCTTGAGGAGGATCAAGCGGTTAAACTTGTTTTTGTTTAGGACTTTGAGAGTGCGCAGGCGCCATCTAGCGTTCGCTTGGAGGGAAAACCAAGGTTTTTATTCATATCTCTGTTGGATTTGTGAGAGAGTCGCTGATTATTATCATACTAATCAACTCACTGTTTTCTTTCCTTGGGCTTTGCAGAGCATTTGAGCGGCTGACGAAACAGAACATTTTTAAATAATGTTCAAACATTACTCATAATATCTTAAAGGGATAGTTCGCCTGAAAAATTAAAATCCTGGCATGATTTACTCACCCTCATGTTGTTCCAAACCCAGATGACTGTAAGTGATTGGTGACTGAAGCTGACTAAATGATGAGAGAATGTTCATTTTTCAGCGAACTGTTCCTTTAAGAAGTAACAGATGTGAGTGTTGTTTAGAATCGTTAGAAGTTGTAGTTCTTAATGGCAAACCGAATCATGCATGGACAATTCTCAGGCACAGCCCTAACACAATCAACAAAAGCATCTAAACCAGCTCTTCTTTCCAGCTGCACATACTATATATATATATAAAACTCACTGTAAATAGAAAAACAAATTAACAATTATTGAAATTAAATAATAAAATATTTACAAATAAATAAAAATACAGAAGCCCTTATATGGACATATCTTTGGCATGTTTTATGCAAATTACTAGATGTGTATTTATGTATTAGTGAACATTTTGGAGTGAGAACTTTTTCTGCACACATAAATATGGAATTTGTTAGTGAATGAGGCCTACTGTTTATGTAGTGTCAACATTTTGCTATATACACTCCCATTGAAACGTTTGGGGTCAATACGATTTTCTTTCTTTTTTTTTCTCTTTTTTTTAATTAATACTTTTAATGCAAGGATGCTTTAATGGTTTGCTGTATTTGTAATCAAATAAACGCAGCCATGGTAAACATGAGAGACGTTTTTCCAAAAACATTAAAAAATCTTACCGACCCCAAACTTTTGAACAGTAATATACCTAAAGCCACGCTCAAAATCAATTATTTTTGCTGTCGTGCAGGTCCAGGTCGACCACTCCCTCCAGAGTGTGGTGGATATCCTCTGGGAGCTTCTCAACAGTCGAATTCCTCCATGCTGTCCCATAGCGGCCCTTTACCCTCAAATCGAATGGGTCTTTCCTCCAGCTCAGTCTCCCAGATGGGCCCGTCGGTTGGAGGATACATGTGCAGCAAAGGTTCCAAACAACCCCTCTGCCACCCGTCGCAAGACTTTGGAATGGCGATGCAGCCTGGACAGAGCATGATGGGAATGGGTGGCCCTCCACGTCAACCGCTACACCCGGCTCACGCTGTGACGCGACCAGGAATGCCATGTCCAAACCTACCAGGCGGTCCTGTGCCGACCCACCACCTGCGGCAGGTGCTGCACCAAGGCGGAGCTCTTCAGTCACATATGATGTTCCCATCTCAGCAACAGCAGCCCACCTCACAGTCCCAGCTCTGGCAGCACCAACAAGGGGTGCAACCACATATGGACCCTGTGAACCACCAACATCCCTTCCTCGCCGGAGGAGCCCTACCTGGATGCCGAGGTCCTCAGTTTCCACAGCGATCCGGCATGGCAGGTATGCCAGCCAACTTCCCTGGTTCCCTTCCTCCTGCAAATCAAGTAGCCCCTGGTTTGGTTAGCAGACAGGACCAGAAGATGCCCACCACCCAGCCACTATCCTCCATGTCCCAACAGAATTTCAGAATGCGAGGTCCTCTCTCCGCTCTAGCTGTTATGAAACCAGGAGGACCGTCCATGATGCACCCTGCCCATGGGATGGCGCCTCCTAGTTACCAGACTGCTTCCGCAGGGAAACACTGTTCACCGCAGTGCTACAACCCCGGAGATAAACTGCCTTCCTATGACTACACACCACAGCATCAGAGCAATGGGGCGATGGCAGCGAGGCTACAAGGACCTGGAGGGGGAGGTGGTCGCGGTGTGGAAGTGGACTTCATAGACACTCTGGTGGGCAACAACGAAGACTGGCTGAACAATCTCACCATGATTGATGAATACCTTGAGCAAAACTCATAGGGACTGATCAAGAGTGTCCTAGGTTTGAAAATCACTACACACAGTGCCAGAATGGGGCCGTGGGGTCATCGCTCTGTAAAGGCACGTTCACACCAAGAGCGCTAACTATAACAAGAACTATATTAGTGTCCACACCAACGGACGATAATATTCTGTTCCTTATAAGCTTGCAGCTACATTGTCTGCTGTTGTAAGACCCTGACTTTTCTGAACTTTTCTGGAAAGTTCGCTTTGGCAAGCTGTTTCAAACTCCAAACAAACTTTGTTTTGGCCTAATTTTGTTCTAAATAACGAAGTATATTAGGTCCTTTAAATACGTAAGCTCTTTAAACTTGTGTGGTATCTGATTGGCTTAAAAAAACTTTTTAGTTTATCATTATAGTTATCATCTTTGGTGTGAACGAACCTTAAAGTCTTAAAGCGTTTTTTTCTCATGGCTAGCATTAGTGAGAATGTATCAGTGGAAATGAGGCACTGCTAAACCTCCTGAAATGACTTTGGCCGTCATTAAACTGGCTTATATTATAAGATGCCCTTTCCTTTTCTCTATGGTTGCTCTTCCAGTGCTCTCTGCGCTGTTTTAGGATAATATTGTAATTATTGTCAAATGTATTATGGAGTGAAACACTGATTGATGAAAACATGGGCTTTGCTCAGCAGTGTAAAGAAAGTTCTCATTCAGTTAAAGGGGTAGTTCACCCAAAAAGGACAATTCTGTCATCGTTTACTTACCCCCATGTCGTTCTAAACCTGTATGACAGAAGACATTTTGAAGAACAATTTTTGTCTGTACAATGAGAGTTAATGATGTTTAAAACAACACTGACTTTCATTGTATGCACAAAAACACGTTTTCTTACCTGCTTTACATGGAGTGAGTAGATGATGACAGAATTGTCATTTTTGAGGTGAACTGTCGCTTTATTGCAATGTGGTAACAGTATTGTTGGCAGTACTCATGCCAGACCAGGCTCATATGTGCAGCTTTTCATTCTTGCTATTTGAAAAGCGTATGAAATAATTTCTGTGATGAACTATTTGAGGGTATTTCAAAAGAGGCTTGTCCTGTACATAAAGGATTTTGTAAAATATGGTTTCTTAAACTGTAACATACAAAAGAGAAGTACACATATTTATGCTTCTTTTCTGCTGATGAATTCTTCAGAATTTCTGTGTAAATAATTATTAAAAGAATAAATAAAACAAAAATGCAATGATGTAAAGAAATGAGTGTCACATTGAAATTGCAAATTAAATATTTTACACTAAGCAACTCTATTGTAATTTGTATTATGCAAGACAGTATGGTTAGTTTTGGAGTAATACTGTGTATTACAAAGGTGAAAAATTTGTTATGTTTTTGACATAACTGGACTTCTGGTACTCCAGTCTGGCTTAAGAAGTTTTTTTTTTTTTTGCGGTTTTAAATTGTGAGTACAATGTTTCACGGCTTTGTCACAGCATTTCATTCTAACATTAATTGCACAGTCTAAAGGTTCTCTAACTTGTGTCATATTGCCATAGCATAATACATTTTACACTAGACACCAGTGTCTTTGTAATAATTTGTTCCATCTAAGGAAATGAGGATCTTAAGGATCTAGATGCTTTTTGGACCAAGGACACTTTTCAGCAATTCTAGGAATGTCTTTTGTAAGTGCACACCAGCTACACTGAAATGGCAGCCTCAATGTAGCAGAGGGACAAAATATATGATCACACCACCAATTATGTAATATAAGAGCAACACCTGTCACAGTAAGTGCATAAAACCCACAGTCCTTTGTGCCAGAGTCTTGGGTTTCCAATAGTTCATGACCATGTAGTTGATGCCATGAACTTTAAGACATTCTGATTTGTGATTAATTGTGATTTATTATATTTTGTCTTCATATTTTTAGATTGGAAAATAAACTGTATAAAAACAAAAATGTCTCCTGTTCTTCTTTAATATATCTTACTTCCGTTTCCATTGGTGGTAAGAGTGAAATGTATAACTACAGATAAATATTAGCACCATCCCTCATTTAGTGTTGAGATGCCTGATAACTACTGTGCTAAAATGATCTTATAGATTCAGAAGAACACCAGGGTCAGTATATCTTTGTGACTGCTTATCAGGACGAGGCAGGGATAAAGTAAACATATTTGTGACATTGATTTAAGAGAGAAAATACCTTCTTTCACTGCTGCTCACTTTAGTTTTTGTTCTAGTCTGTTTTGAACAATTTTTTGTTTTTTTTACAAAATTGTCTTTATTGGGGCTTGAAGTTATTATGAAATCAGTTTTATTGTTCTTGATTGACGTTTTTTCTTTTTCTTTTCCTTTTTTTCTTTTATATTGATTAATATGATAAAGGGTTTAAATGACATCTTTCGTTTAAACTTAAAGGAAAGATGAGCTCACACAGAAGTATTTCACTTTCCAATCATGATTTTATGATTCTGGCGGTGTTTTCCAAAACATAATTGAACATCTGTTGGATTCATTTCTTCATAGTGTAGCTTTTTAGTGTGGTAAATTAAATCATTCATTTCTTATCTAGAGGTAATATGAGAATGGCCATACAGAAAATAAAAATAACGATCTAATAAAGGTGCTCCAAAATGTTGTGAGGCAATGTTTTCTTACAAATAGACCTTTAGCCTTTATCACACTTGTCTTAGGTGTCTGTAAGTCTTTAGCAATTGGAATAGGTTAATGTATTTTTTAAAGTGTTTTAAGCTCACATTTTTTAAGCTTTTTTTTTTTTTCAATTATGCAAACTAGATTTCTTTACCATACAGTGGAAAGACAGTGGGGTCATATAGGATTGTAACCACACCTTAATGTTGCCTATCTAAAACGATATTAATTTCTGGTACAAGCTAACGATTCTGCATATACTATACAGTCTCTGTTCTTCTGCACTAGGCTTCCTTAGATAAATAGATAAATATAAATAGGCATTTTTGCATAGTTCCTCTTAATGCTGTTTTATGGTTTTGCCGGTTTCATTTTTAGATCAGCAGTTTTGCTTCCACATAAAAAGTGGCCTTTGTTTTTGCATCAGCAGTTGATGGTTTTAGAAACTCATATCTGTTACTGCAGGTTCATGTATCACACAGTTACGGATCAGAGCTACACAACAGAAGTCTGGGTAAATTCAAACTTGATAATCCAGACTTTGAAAGCCACAAGTAATTTAAAGTAATACAAAAACCTTGTGTGTGTCTGTGTCTTCCTTCCCAGAGCCATAATTTGCACAAGATGCTGTGTTGCCAGGCTCTAATGAAGTACAGTTAACTGCCATCTGTAAGAAGTGAATGGAATGATTGGTATGACTATGACACTGCATGGATCAGATTGCACAGCCATCAGCTACTTCACTGAGCAAGACTCTTGAGTTTGCACTTTTATGAAAGATGCTACCAGTTTAGTGGCAATTTGTAAAAAAAAAATACAGCTTATTATGCAAGAAAAGTAGTGCATTCATGATGTGTCAAATATTAATGACTGGTAAAAGTAAAAAAATTAAAAAAAAGTGAGAGGAGTAAAAAGAGTTGTCTGTCATCTGTAAATTTTGGGGAAAACATTTGGGAAAATAAAATCTCTAGGTGTGCACTTTTTTGTGTTTCTCTAAATGATAAGCTGAGCTAATGGCGTCAGGCAACTTTGACAGAAATGGGCAACAGGTTGAACACACTATAAGTTGTTTGTTTTATCAGGCAACAATTGAAACAGATTGTCCAAATTAGTTACTCTATTTCTGACCTTATAGTTATTTCCAAGCAATGCTGACTGACAACATAGTCAGGCTAGTTGTCAAATGTTTATACATATAGGCTATATATGGGTGAAGTTTTCCAAAAGCTATTACCATTGATAAAACTAATGACATGAAATAAAGGGACAAACATACTTTTTAAATTATTTATATGATTAATTACTCATGTTGTTTGGTTTTTACACACTAGATAGATCCTTAACTAATGCATAACTTAAAAAAAAACTATATGTAGGGGACCAGGGATTATCAATTAATATTAAGATTTAGTGTCAAAATGTATACATTTATGAAATAATCAGTTATGGTAGGATGCTTTTAAATGGAGTTTCTTAAATATTTGAAATCTATTTCATGACAGAAAATGGCAGCATGTTTTGAGAACAAGCCTAGTATTTCACCGTCCTTAGCAAAAATACAACTCCCTAAATTCCGTGCAGTACACGATTTGACAAGTGGCCAATGGGCGCCTTGACCGCTGTCACGTGAGTCGGGCTGAGAGCTTCCTGCGGCGGTGCAAAACAGACTGGCGATCTGAGGAACGGAGAATTGCAGTTTCTGGGTAAGTAAAGACATTTGCAAACCCAAGATTGATCGGGTCGCATGTTAAGACTTCTCGGCGAGGGTCTGCTCTTTATTTAGGTCTGCTTGGAGCGGACTCAGGGGTAAATGTAGCACTTGAGAGCTGTCGCAGAGATAGGCCCGACCTATTTCCTGGTCACAGTCCTGTGCTGGAATACATTCACAGTGTAAGAGCTCCCACGAAATCGCTTGAAGTGATAAAAGTGGACTTTTTAGACGCTTGAGAAGCTTGTTTTGACGTGTATGTCGTTATCTCTTATTGTTTGAATCTATGAATGGAAGTGGATGTGTGTACATACACTGCTCATAATTTTCCATCACATCATCACATAAGTTGGTGAAAGTGTGTATCTGCTTTCGTCGTGATTGATCCGGGCATTTAAAGCCTCAGGGTGAGTTTTTTGAAGTATGAGAGTTTTGAATTGAAACTTCCCTTGACAGATTGATTTCATTCCTCTCTCTTATCTCTTAAGTTAAAAGTCATTTTCTTTATAGGCAGGGAAAGAAGGCTGTAGATGTGCACACCGTCATGTAAAAGCCACAACAGTCCTGTCATCATTATAAATAACTCTCTTCTTTCTCTCTCACACACCCAGGCTGGTGCTGTAATAATTTACATGCCTGTCTTTGGACCGCTAACCTCATGTGTCATTCCCTCAGGTGTCCATTTGAATCTCAGAGCTTCATATTTGCCCCTCAAATGACTCAGAGATCTGAATTTGTTGTGTTTTCAACAACACTGTTCGTGGCATAAGTGTAAATTTAGCCCAAAATGAGTGACTTCAGGTTCTGAGGTGCTGATGTGGTCTGTATGCAGACATATTGCATATTGCTTTTTGGTGTCAACATGAAGAAGCTTGTAGCAGGTTTGGCTTGTTGGGTGGCCTTTATACAAAAATCTTTTATGTTTTAATTAAATAAAGTTTATTAAATAAGTAATTATTATTATTATTATTTAATTTATGGTACAATCGAAATAAAAATCAGTTTAATCAAGTAAAGATTTGTCAGCTTATCTGTCCCATGATGCATCACGATTGACAGGATGTTCATTACCTTTCACAGCTGTGTTGTTGCTGTTGATTCACAGTATGTTTCATATTTTCTCTCACTTCCACTCAGATGCATTCTGTGGTAGTTTCTGCCAAAAAATATATGAATATGACTGTAGAAACAGCAACTGTGCTTCTTGAGAACATTAGGGATAGTAGAAAATATACAATTTGAATGACATATCGATCTTAGCTGTATGGCCCAGGTTTGCATATGACCATCATAATTTTCCAACCAAATTCTCCCCCTCGCTGCCTGTCGTACTGTTCTGTAATTTCAAGTTGAAAAGTCTATACATAGAGTTCAACAATACAGATTACAATAAAATACAGGCCTGGAGCCAACCGACATTACTGTCTGACATTGTTTGGTTATAAACTTGTTTTTTGCCTTGCAGATTTAAATATTTGTCTGTTTGTATTAGTCTTGTGAATCTGCTGATTTACATATGTTACCATGGTAATTGTTATTAATAATTATACCATGGTTATTAATTGGCTTACACACATTATCATTCAAAAGTTTGGGCTCAGTAGAATTTTTTTAAAGAAATCAATTCTATACTCATCAAGGATGCATTAAAGGGGTCATATGATGTTGCTAAAAAGAACATTATTTTGTGTATTTGGTGTAATGAAATGTGTTTATGCGGTTTAAGGTTAAAAAAACACATTATTTTCCACATACTGTACATTATTGTTTCTCCTCTATGCCCCGCCTTTCTGAAACGCATCGATTTTTACAAAGCTCATCGGTCTGAAAAGCGAGGTGTGCTCTGATTGGCGTGTGACGGAAATGTTATGCCCCTTACCATACTCTGATGCAGTATCCCGGAGCGACGAGACAAAACCAATAAAACCCATTATAAACGAGGCATTTGTTGCATCCAGTGGGGACATACTTACGGATTATAATGACTTGTATGGTCTTTTTACGCGTTGCGTTGCATTGCGCCGTGTAAACATAAAACCATGTCTGCATTTGGGATCGGAGAAATGACAAACAACAAGCACT